AAAAAAAAAAAAAAAAAAAAAAAAAAAAAAAAAAAAAAAAAAAAAAAAAAAAAAAAAAAAAAAAAAAAAAAAAAAAAAAAAAAAAAAAAAAAAAAAAAAAAAAAAAAAAAAAAAAAAAAAAAATATATTGCGATATTTACGAGCATTTTAAAATCAATTTTACGGCCTTATTTAGTAAACGTGATGTGCATGCAGGGATTGGTAACCTGTATTGACGTATTGAAGGTCAGTTCCAAACTTGATTTATTGAGAAAATTCGCTGAGAGCTATAATAAGTTACATTTAAAAAAAAATCTCGACTCTGATTAATACATTTTTACGTTATGTCAAAATTAAGACAAATTTCAATCATGCGCGACGGCAACAAATAATAGTGGGCAAAAGAGAAGGAAGTTCGGAATATCAGTTAGCAATAAGTCCCTTCTAAGTACCCACCTGTGGCATATATCCTATTCTAGGCCCAGGAACTCCACTGCCAGGGCTTCCGGGCTTTCCACCCAGTACCCAGATCTCACCAGAATTCAGTCTTCGTCTGCCGACTATACACGACAGCAGTGTGGTCTTGCCGCAGCCAGAAGCACCCAAAAGGCCATATCTGGAAAAATAATTTTGACTTTTATCACAAAGACATTAAAGAATCGATTTCTTAGCAGCTAACAGATTCTGCCGCTAAAGCAGTTCTGCTTTTCCATTTAAAGCGTGGAACCTATGCGTCATAGAATAGAGACTTTAACCTCATGTTCTTGGCTTGCAAATATCCCAAGGTGGCAGTAATCACATTTGAATGTGTTTTTTTTTTTTGCCATTGGAGACAGACGAGCATATACCCACCTGATGGTGAGTAGCTACCCTCATCCATGCACTTCAGCAATGCCAGGGGCAAAGCCAAGCCGCTGCCTACCGTTAATGTGTTTGCTGTCTCCGCTTGCTGGCTCCTATAGACTCAAGTAATCACCTAGCAGCAGGTGAAACGTAACCTCGTTCGTCGGTTCATCGTTTACGCAAAAAGTTAAAAGCAAACTGATAATTACATAGCGTTCAGGTGCTCGCGTTTTAAATTTTTCCAAATATGTATAATTCGACGCTTAAAGGCAAACGTGACTAAGCGACAATGCGTGAACTTTACAGTAGACGAATTTAAAGTTGAAATAACTGAAAACAAAATTTATTTTAACGAATCTAGCTGTAGTAGAATCTAGCTAGTAACTGTAGGGATTGAAATGATTTTAATAGACCTGGAAATATTATTTTTTTGCGCATCGAATATGGTTATTGTCTATCATTTATGTACAAAGCAGTTATTGTCGCTTAGTCACGTTTGCCTTTCAAGTGTCGATATCATTTTTAGAGTTGAACCAAATTAATGTGACAAAACTGAAAACTTATGATTTAACTATGTTACAGTAAACGGATCCTTCATCTATATCAGGGTTATCCAGACAACGGCCCGCGGCTTATTTTCTTGCGGCCCGCGACGCATGTTTTAATCAGAAACTAGTTTTGGATATAAATAGTTTTGATAAGTAGAATTCTTTGTCAAAACAAATAATATAATAGTTGGTATAATTTATCTTTATTCTTTTAAAATTCCATTCCCATGACAAGTTAAGCTATATTTTACTATTATTGGGGGAATTCCCGGAAAGTATTTATTGCCTTGTATTTTTTTTATTTGAAAACTGATTTTTTTTTCTACAGCCTAGTAAATTTAGTTAGCCCACAAAAGAATGTAGTTTGGACAGCCCTAGTCTATATCACGCAAGTATCAAAAGGACTTTTTGCGGAACAGGAATGGGAGGAGTGAAGTTGTGCGATTTGTTTTATTTTGTCTATTTAGTGTTTCTTCAGGTTTAAATGTGTAATAACGGTGGTTTATTTGTGAAAGTGCACAAATGTGGGAAAATGAAATAAAGCCGCTGGACGTAGCTTCTCAGGATCCTCCAAAAAATCCACTGAAAAATCTCCGTAAATGACCACCAATTAACTGTGACTATATTTCATCCCATATCATCTCGTCTAATTTCATTTAATTTCATCCCCGTTGATTAATGTCTCAAATGAATCATCTTAATTTCATTTCAATCCATATTATCATTTTTCATAAAAATAAGAATATAAATTAAGCAAGTAATAAGACATGACCTAAAGGTCGTAGTTACCAGGTCATAAAATCCCTTTAAAAAAATCAAGTGTCAAAACAAAGTAGCAAAATTAAAGAAAAATAAACTCACATAGATCCTTTAGCAACAGTCATATTCAGACCATCCAAAATAACGTTCGGGTTTTTAGCTGTTCCATATCTTTTGTGCGCTCGTCTGACACACACCGCTTGCTGCCTCCTAGAAGCAACTGTGGACTTTTGAGTTTTGAACATTCTGTTTCTTCTGGCTATTAGCTCTTCTTCTATGGTGCTGATGGTGATCGGACGGTCGATATCCCGGACGTCCTCCATGGATATCGTGGCTCCTTCGTTGTCGTAAGCTGGCATTTTGCTGTGAACAATAAAACTTAACTTAAATCTTATCTTAACAAGAAACCTATTAATTACTAGCCGTACTCGCCCGTTTCGCTGGGCATTTAAAATTAACATTATTATTTATTGTCATTATTATTAGGGAGTCCAACACTCATATAAATATTAGCCTATCCATTAATTACATGTATTTTCTACATGGATACCAAGTTTCAAGTCAATCGGATGCATGGTTCAGTAGTTATAGCGGAACATCCGTAAAAACCACTGTAGATTTATATATTAGTATAAATTTAGTTCTGAATCAAAATTTTTGCTGTTTTGAATTACCTTCGTTTTACACCTTTCCTATACTTTTGCTCACTGATTTCAGGTAAGTGGAACATGAAATAGGTCACCACTTTTTCATTTTCGAAATAGTATTTCCTGTAATACCCTCACTTTTAAAGTAATATTACTTCATTGACATCGACAAAAGCTATCTGCAAATATCTCACTAGTCAACTAAAAATGCATTCTCGAATGACAAATGCAAGGTATTTGCAAAATTTCCTTACCTATATTTCCACTACCTACATTTTGTTCACAAACCACAATTCTTATTTAAGCTAAAAATTAAACCTTCTCCTATGTGTAGTTGCGGTAAATCTATCGGTACTTTAGATCATATCTTTCTGGAATGCGCTCTTAACGATAAATGCCCACCACTATATTGTTTACTAACTAACACTAACATCCCGTTCCCAGTTAATATGAACTATCTCTTAACATTCCCTAATCCTAAAGTTGTAAATGCATTAGCTTATTTTATTTCCCGCAATAACATTAAACTGTAAAAATATTTACAAATTTTTCTCCCGTTCTCATTCATCTTATCTGCTATCATCTATTTAAATCACTGATATTCTATCTACGTGACATTGGCAGAGTCATTCGTCAAAGAAGAGACTCGAGACATAATAAAAAAAAAAAAGAAAAAAGATCTTGATTCTTGAGATTGTTATGTTTGTACACTTAAATTACGTTGGACTTCAGTCGAGGCTATCAAGCGAAGAACAAATACAACAGTAAGGTTAAAAGGTCATTTTATCGTCATTCGGTATCTAACTAAAACCACATATAACATTATTCACACGTTCGTGCGATGCATGATTGTTCAGTAAATGAAAAAAGATTAAGAGAAAGACGGCTTATTTTGGTAACTTTTGTGATTTTCTTTACAGCACGACTAAAGACCCGACTTTAGATAATTAGAAGCCCCTAATGACATCACTAATGGCAAATGATGGTAGATTACCTAATCTGTAATCACTATTACGCTCAATTTGTAAAATAAGTCTTATTTACATTGGAGAATGTTGATAACTGGCTAGGACTGATGAGTTAAATTTTTTTACCAGTCTTTTTATATCTATATCGTGTATGCTATACGGATTGGCGAGAGTGTTCTAATCTGTCATCCTAACAAATATTTTAATGTACATGTAAATTTATCATTTAAATGTTGCTCTAATGCCAAGGACACAAAGTGTCCGCTGCCTAACGACTTTCCAAACATACTTACAATATATAATAACATAATGAAAAGTCGGTAAGAAAAAGCGAGGGCTCATTTTAACAACTTTCCAATTCTTACTAAGCTTATTTAAACATGGATTCCCAATGAGAACCACTCAATACCTTAACTTGCAAATTGGTTAATTTGAGACTTTGGAATCTTGTACATTAAGAAAGATATGATTCAAAATATTTTTTAAATCATTTAGAATATAGTTTATATCATTCATTGGTAAGGATCTGGTGTTGTTTTCATTTTTTCGCAGAAACGACTGCAATAGCATCACAATGTAAAAGCCATCACCCACTCTCAGACCAGATTCAACAGGTCAATCTAACCGTCACCATGCCGCTTGGTCATTCACGCGACCAAAATATCGAGACCTTATTAAAATATTGATTGTGTCAAGAATCCTCTGGTGGTAGGTCATCTTACGAGTCCGTACGGCTAGGTACCACCACCCTACCTAACTGGTGTGAAGCAGTAACGCGTTTCGGTTTGAAGGGTGGAGCAGCTGTTATACTGTAACAACTGAGACCTTAGAACTCATGTATCAAAATGGTTGGCGGCATTCACGTAGTAGATGTGTATGGACTCCAGTAACCACTTGCCACCATATGGGCCGTAAGCTCGTCGACCCATCTAAGCTATAGAAAATAAGCCCCTTAAATTATAGGGTTTATAATTAGGTCCAAGTCCTAATTCAATAATAGTACAGGCTATCCCGGCTAATGAAACTGAAACGCAGGCCTGCTTTACGGCAAATAAAGTCTGGGTGATGGTAAGGTGATGGTACTTACTCATGCGAGCTTACAATACCCTGTCACTTGTGTGAATACATCCAAAGTTTAACTAACCATGATTGTCATGAAAATGGATGAAAAAAGGTGACAATAAGTATGTGTATACCAAAAAAACTCAGACGTCTGATCTGAGCTAACGAATTCTGAGCTACTTTGGATTAAATTGATGTTGCAGATTCCGATAGCTTAAGAAAAGCGTAAGGTATTGGACCATGGTTAATGGAAATGATGTGGTCGATGCTCCAAATACTTTCCATGAGTCTGCTTATGCGTTTGGCTTTAAAAAGCTACAAGCACAAAAATGAGGAAAGCCTCGATTCAAGAAACAATCCCATGTACCTACAGCCAAGTTCATGACAAATAGTATCTTAGAGTCGAGACATGGAGGGTGGATATAAACTCAAAGTACTACAATATGAATTACATCATGAATACAGCACATCCTTCACCTAATCTTTATTTGATGGATAATTTCATCATCGACAATTAACTGTAGACAATTAAGCTATTAGCTATATCCCGCTCATTAAAGGTGCTACTTCATTATTCTTGGAAACCCAACAAATTGGTATAAAACCTTTTTTATTGTTGTGGTTGTGGTTTCTGACATTACATTTGAATTTTGAATTTTAGAATGCCTTAGTCTTTATTTGTCATTCCCTTTTTTCCGTAAGCGAATTAAAAAAATTCAAAAATATATACAAATTTTATACGTGCAATCCTCGCGAGTTTATTTATTAAGATCCTTGCCAATCCTAATACTACAGTCCACTACATAAATTGGTCCGTTACGGCCGAAGAAAAGAAATTCTATAAAGATAATAAACACGCCGAGGCGAAGCCGGCGAGCGACATTGAAAGAGCGAAAACTTACTTCAAAAAATTTATATCGGCAAGCCAGGAAGCAGTGCAAACTGCAGCGAAGAGGAACTTGGACAGGCAAACTAAATCAGGGATTTGGCGAGAAGACAAGAGGGCGATACCATTCGCGTCCATAGATACCATCTACAATTATTACATTAGCAACATTCTGCTATCAAGTTAATCTGTAAAACGATATTATTTTAGTACATTAATTGGTATAGATATTTTTGCATGATTTTATCAGCAACAGAATTTGTTAAGTTTTTTTTTTAATTCACACGTTTTTCTGAACCCACAGCACTTTTTGCTTTTTATAAAATCTCGTTGCGTAGATCAAATTCATTTTTTGTTAGGTTGTTTTTAAAACTTATTAACTATTAGCAATTAGTACCAAGTGTCCGCAAAAAACAGAAACCTGATTTCGAACTACTTATATGGTTGTAAGGGCGTCAACGTCATTTCATATTACATCAAATGACGCGTGTGTACTAATCTATATATTAATACGTGAAGGAAAAACTTTGTATCCCTTTTTACGAAAATTGCGCGGACGGAGGAGTATGAAATTTTCCACACTTATAGAGAATACAGAGAAGAAGTGCACAATGCTAATATTTTTTTTAAATTATGCCTTAAAAATACATTAAATCAATAAAGAAAACATTACACACACTACCACGTATTTGATGCACACACGCATGCATACTATTTATTTATTGTCAAACTTTTGTTCTTGACGTCGGTAGTTAAATTGAGAATAGATTAAATATTGTTTGTCTTTATTAATATTTTTCTATAGTGTAGTCTTGGCGAAATTTGTGATTATAGAAATATAATAGTCTTTGAAAATAGCATCATAATAGTGTACAAACTTACAATTTCAATCAATTATAGTCGAATTTCGACTACTGCGGGACACTAGTATATTAAAAAGCGCATCGTAAAGACGACCTCACAGTATACTTGGTGTTAACAAGATACCACAAATATGTCACCCGCTGAATATAAAGTTGAGCCTTGTAGTCGGTAAAGCTACTAAGTCACGGTGGTCAGTTAAATGACTAAAGTATATTCGGATTATAATGATTACAATTAAAACGCAACGTGGTAGCGACAGCCTGACAATCTCAACACTGACTAAAGCATCGCTGTAATATATCGCTTTGTAATTATCGCTTATATATTATACATCGGTACGTAATATAAGTGCATATGTAGTCCTTACATATCTATAACTTCCCTTTTTAATTAGATAGGTGAGCTCAACTGTAACCCCTTCCAACTAAAAACCAATTGACTCTAAGATACTATTTGGCTAAAAATCTGCAAGTAATCAACATCTGATTTTTGTTTTTTATAAGGAAGTCAACAAGAAGACAGTCTTAAAAGTAGATGAGACCTTTCAAATAAAAATGGCGATTCAGAAGAAGAAAAATCAAGGTTTATCACAGCTCCCGCAATTCTTGGGTCTGGCTAACGACCGGCACCATCCCGCTAGCACCAGCCGACCCCTAAATAACTCGGTCGAAATAAACGTTTCCGTTATTTACTGGTGGTAGGACCTCTTGTGAGTCCGCACGGGTAGGTACCACCACCCTACCTATTTATGTCATGAAGCAGTAATGCGTTTCGGTTTGAAGGGTGGGGCAGCCGTTGTAACTATACTGAGACCTTAGAACTTATATCTAGGCGAGCAATTAAACGAGCAATTCTTGTATATAAATATATAATCTGAATCTAGGAAACGGCTAGAATGATTTGCTCCAACGATTTTCATAAAATGTAGTATA